CCATTACTTTACCTCCCCACCTTTCTTTCGAATTTGCTCTCCCCTTCTTTTCTTGATCAGAAAACGAGGCCGCGATGGACTTGTATTTCGAAGGACCGAGTTCAAGTCCTGCCCTTATCGCTAGCTGGATTGGTTCTCGGTAGTCCCGAGTTCAAATCCTCGGCCAACTAGTTCGCCTCCTTCCAGTTGGGATTCTTAACCTTGTTATTTACCATTTGAATTATTTGCTTCATTACCCCTGAAAAGCCCCTTAGAGGGAGAGAATATTTAAGTATATTATAATTGACTTGATTGATCGCACCATATTGCCTCAGCCAAGCCTGCGTTAAAAGTTCAAGAGACATGGATGCATGAAATTTTATGTCCCAAATTTGAGTATGTTGGAAATCCGATTTAACTGTGAACTCTTTAAGTCCAGCCTTTACACGACAAGGAACTTTCTGGTAAAACCGGGGGAGAGTAGTCATTAAACATTATCAAATGAAGCTGCCTCATCTCATGTTGATTGTTTCACTAGGGTTCCAGCAGATTTGATGCTTACTATAGTTTTCAGGCCATTTCACCTTGTATATTTTTGTTGAGAAGACCCTTAGTAAAGCTGGTTAGAAAGTTTTAGATCTCGACAGCAGGGTCGACTCAAATCCCACAAAGATGTAAAAAGTCGTAGGAGGCAACCATTGACGTCAAAAATTAAGAAAGCTACCGAAACACTGTGAAAAAGCACTTTTTAAGAAACGAAACTCCACTTTTTCCTGGTTGAGATTCTAGAGAGACATGATGACTGAATCGACATTTCTCAAATTTCTACATCACTGAAAACTAATAGAACGTTGCGGCTTGCAATCAAGCTGATGCTAATTATATTGAATTTAACTGTAGTTCCATACTGATGAAGCGTCACTACCCAGATTTGGGTAGTGCCTCTGATTGGCTGAATCAAATCTCCCACGCGGCATGACCAATCAGAAGCACTACACAGAAGCACTACCCAGACCTGGGTAGTGACACGTCATCAGTATGGAATTTCTGCGCTCGTTTTCCAGACGTCATTTGGCGGGCAAACCAGTGGTAGTGTCGCCAAATGTCGGCTGTTTTCTCAGGCTAATTTAACTGTAATATTGCAATGTTTTGCAATGGTATGACTGAATGTTCCGCCTAGATTAGCTAATAATCGTTGCAGATCATTTTCTTGTGGATGTTTTTTTGGGGAGGAACACATCAAATATTGCTTTAATAAAGCTGAGTCCAGTTAACGTTAAGTTAAGTTGGGTTATTTTATGATTCGGGAGGGGCCCCAGACGCTCATTTCGAGAACATTTAAGGGCCATACTTCTCGGAGACTCTTTTGGATAGGGATGATTACGTTGAATTCATCTGCTATATAATCCGGCTTCTTTGCCACAGCCGATAGTTAGACTATACAGGTTACATAATTTTCTCTGTAAAAATGGTTGTCATTATAAATTCAATATTCTCTACAAAAAATCATATTCCTAAACATCCATTCTGCCTTAACTACAGCTATGCTAACTTCGGATTCACATGAAATTCTTTTTCCTTTCTTGTTTATTTTTATTTTTTACATTAGTAAACGAATCTATTTAATGCGGGTAAAGGATAAGCTGTTGTTGCTGTATATCTTAGTTTTGGAAGGCTTGATGAATCCATACCTGTAGGATTGTAATTAATATATTATTTACCTGAGAAAGGCACTTGTCATTGACTGAGTTGATAACAGCAGGAAAATGATGACCGGTACTACTTTTGCTGGATTCGGCATTTCTCTATTGGACACACTCTGGTATGTATGTAAGCTGTACCTAAAAAAATACACTGGGGTTACACTGCACTCATGGGGATAATATTTGTAAGCTCTACTTAAAGCTCGCGTTTGCCTCGCGCGCGCTTTAAATAATAATAATAATAATAATAATAAAAATGCTCAAGTCCGTTGCACTTACAATCAAGATTTGTTTCCTTTAAACGTTTTACACCATATTGGACCTCAACAAGACTTTTAGAGGTCCTCCAAAATAGACGAGTTTTGCTGTTAAACAAGTTTGGCGTTCAACACAAAGGTGCCAGAGAACAATAGCAAACAAACATTGTGATCTAGCTCCTCCCACGTAGCCGGAATCGTCTATAAGCCAAGGAAATGAACCATTTAACAAGAAGTCATCCTCCAATGGTTTGGATAGGTAAATTATACTTTACATTGCGAAAGAGCTTTATCGCAAGTATCCGCGTTACGATTAAAAAAGCGAGTCATTGCATGCAAGAGAGAATCTGTTAGCTTAGGGGAGAGATAGGGGAGGGGTAGGTGAAATGATTTTATGAAATTTTATGAAATGAATTAAACTTTTTTGTTGTTATTTTTAAATGAAAACATTTGCCGTGACACGTCCTTTAGCGGCAAACTTTAAAAATAAGAAAGGCTTAGCATTCTAATAAAGGTTTAAACCCTTTTACCCATTGTACTAAAAAATAACCAAATAGTTTTTGTGATTTTAGTGGTGACGCTGACCGTCAAGAAGAGTGAACAAAATATTCGTCTAGTAGTGCGAAACGGCTTCTTTTTTCAGCATTGCCACTGGAGAAGGTTTTGAACAGTTGCGTTTTCTGGAAGTTTCTTGGTGTTACGGAGGCCATCGCTCGTTCGCTTTTATGTTGTGTCGGGGCTATTTGTGAGTGTATATTTAATCATTCACAACACAAACACTTACCGTTTTTAGTGTCCTGAAAATTAGTAGAGCATCCAGAGAGAAATATCTTTTAAGAAAAGTGGAATAAACAGGAATGGGATCACCTTGGTGGCATTATAGCGTTGCTTTTTTACAATATCACTTACTTTTTACCTTTGAGTTGGTGTAAGGTTATCTATATTCAATGCTTCAGGCTTTTCAAATATCCTCGGGTCTCGATAAAATGCGTATATACCTTTCAAGTGCAGTGTAGGTGTATTTATACTTTTGTAAAGCGCCGAATTACATGTGCATATTTTACAGCGTTTTTCCTATCAATAGAGGCCTTAAGCTATACATATTATCATCTTATTATCACGGAGAGCAGAAATTCTTTAAAAACTCATTTCAATTTAATTGAAGATTTATAGAACAATAGTACAGGCCTCTGAAAAAAAAAACACTTTCGGAGGCAACATTTTCAAGAAATAACTAAAAGATGCACTAACCTCAAAAAGGCATCAGCTCTCTTTATTTCTTTACTGCTGCGGTTTATTTCAGGCAGAAATGACCTTGGCCTAATGCTTGAAGGCAAGACAACTTTTTGGCAAAGGTTTCCTCCAGACTTTTGATAATGACGGAGACGCTCAGTTTACCCTGATTTTTGCGATACTGATGTGAATTTCACTTACCAAAATTTTTTTTTTCCTTTTTGGGGAGGAAAGCCTAGTATCAGCTGGTATCAAATATGTCATGCTTTTCAGAAATATGTTCTGTTTATGGGGATGAAAAACAAACAAGCAATGAAACAAAACAAAGAAAAATAGTAAATGAACTGAAAGTCCTTCTGGGAAAGCATTTTCATCATCAGCATTGCTCCACGCTTTCTATTCCCTCTCGCTGAAAAGATTAATCGCTCGAACCTTCTTCAGACATTGCTGACGTCAAGGCCCTATTTAGAATGTAATTTGCCCTTGAGGAAGGGAGTCTGTGCCATGTCTAATATTCAGTCATCAGTCATTTGAAATATGCCATCGTCAATGAAGGCTTTTAAAGATCGGAGACCCTTATCTCGCATTTCAATGTTAACTGCAAGATCCTGCATGTCAAAAGCTATTACCTCAGTAACGTTTATCTAGTCTGTGGATATGGATCAGACCTGCTCTGCTTCAGACCTCTTAATTCAATGGGACTCTCAAGATTGCACCAAGACTGGAGGTGTATGGTTGGCCAAATTGTTGCAGAATTCATAAATTCCACAATCAATGGACATTAATGATTTCATTCTTATTCACGAGTATATTCGTTCACATTGAAAGTTTTCAAAATTCAAGTTTTGCAGTGAATAATTAAAAGCTACGTTATCCACACTGGCAATATATAGGCAGACACTCTGACCTGATTTTGAAATGTTCTTTTATTAAAACGGTCGTTGAGTCCCATTCACGTTCGCACTCTTTCAGTAGATCGACTGCTACCGAAAAAACCTCTTCCTATTGCAAAGGAGACGTTTGCTCCCTCCCCCCGGAGGGGGGGGGGAGGTGCTTCCCTATAATAGTGACGAGGGTGCTCGTCGTACCTTTTAGGGGTTTAAATTTGTGGATTAGTACCGCTTAGGATGCTAAAAGCTAAAATGACTGCTGCCAGAGTTGTCTCGGTAACATTTTAGGGGCTGATACGCTTTATTAGAATAAAGATTTATGAGAAGAAAGTGTTCGAAAGTTATCTTTTTTATTACTATTAAAATTTGAAGTGCCAGACATATAATTTGTTGTTGTTGAATTAGTACCTCTTAGGGGTGGAAATGGATTTGGGACAGGCCGATAAAACAAGGTTCTGGTACCTTTTAGGGTTTTTTTTTCATGATTATGTCGGGAAAATATTCTCCATTACTAAATTGATTTGATTGATTCTCACAGCAATACCGAAGTTAAGAAAACACAACTGCTTCCTAACAGACTATTTTTATTGATGATCACGTACTGGGGTTGCCGAAGGAAGAGCTCAGTCTTAGTTTCTTCTTCCATTGTCAATAGTATTTTTATTTATTTTTATTTTATTTTATTAGCTTTGCCCTGAAGAATACAGAGAAAAAAAAAACATTGAAGATATGCAAACACTACTAAAAAGAACGTAACAATACACTAATAATAACTAAAAAAAATTGGGGCAGGAACACCGCAACAGCTAAAGCCAATTACTGCGGACCCAAAAAATAAAAGGATATAAAAGTAGCAATTTACATTACGTGCAGCAGCTAATTTCTTGGTCTAAAAACCTGGCTGTGTTACATTTCAAGCATAGTGCCTTCAGCCCGTGCCTGAGAAACGGTGATCTCGTTTTATAATCGCGAGTAGGTGTTACCTAATCCATAAGCAGATCTAAACAATTAACTATCATTTTAAGTTTTATTATTCTAAGTACTAAAAAGCTGAAAGTGAGTTGAGACTCTTTAAACGCTGATTGTTTAGCATCCCCCGCAAGATATATTTTTAGGCAGTAAAATACAGATAATACAACCAGTAAAACCCATTAAAAATAATAAAGACAACAGCAAAAGCTATCTTGGCAACATCATCTAATGAACCGCATTTAAAAATGTTCTTGAGATCAGCTAGTTTCATCTCAGACGTGCGACATGCAAAGATGGGATGTCGTACTCTCTCCCCGGCGAAATCCTTCTGCAGTGATCTTGAAGAAACGTTGGCGTTATTATCCGTAGGTTTCATGATTTCCGTTAAGTTCTGAAATGATGAACGAGCTTCAGTTATTGTTCACTTAGAGAAATAGACTGAAAGATTTATTCCAAGTGTTTATTCCCATTTCACCCTCAGACGTACACGCAAATTCATACCCCCACCGTGGTACAAGGGGTGGGGGGGTTGGCGGTGGATGGAACCCCTTCCCGGAGTTTTTGATATGTTGCAGTATTTTGAAACGATTTTACCTTAGTGGAAAGCCTGTGATCTTCTTAACAAAATGAGATATATTTTAGGGGTGGTGGCGCTGCTGTAGGCCTGTGATGTCACCAACAATGGTCGCCATCTTCACCGCCATCTTGGATTTTACCAAGAATTAGAAATCAGGTTCAAACTGCCAAAAATGGTAATTTTTTGTGCTTTACATGAAGAATAACACATAATTAAGCACTTTGCATGATTTTAGCCACAAGATTTACTTTTATTCTTGAAAGAAGTTGAAAAAACATGTAGTTTCACCCAAAATTGGCTTGACCACCGGCTACTTATGACGTCATATCTCGTAACCATAGCAACTGACCATCACTAAACTTGTCTCAAAATGTGCGCGAGGGATGAACGAACAGCTACTGAAAACGTCAGGTACTGATGTCTTATCTTGTAGGAAAAAACTCAGAAAAACCTTCTGAAGGGTGAAGGGGGGGTCGTCATGCACCCCCCTGTACGTCCGAGGGTTAATTCACCACACTTATTCAAGCGAAGAAAAACAAATAGCTCAATTAGATGTCAGTAAATTAAGATGAATCTGGTTTTAAGGATGGTACCCATGGTCCTCAAAATTTTTTTACTGCGCATATGGTCAGAGCATCATGGCAAGATTTCAGTAACTAACATTTACAAAGGTTGATGCTTCCAATTAAAAATCAGTTTTGAACCGCTTTTTACCGGGACTCAGAAAAAGGACAGATGAAATTCATAAAGCTTACAAAGCTTTTTTTTTTATGGAAACTAGTCCACACCCTCAATTTTCTTCGTATTATTAAATATTCTTTGTAGGGACTATTATATGTTCATGAACGATGAGGAAAACACCCCCTTTGAATTGGAAGGCACCTTATTAATGGTGGCCCAAAAGGGCCAGAGAGTTTAGAGCAGCCCTTCCACTTACTATTTAAATACTGCTAATAGAATCAGTAACACTTTGCAGTCAAGCATGTGACAAGTTAACATATTTGAATGCACCAATTATTTTGCATCCGAATACTTCTAACTGCTTTAAGGTAAAATAGGAGATCAGTCCCACGGGTTGTGAAGTCGCTATGGAAATCATTATTTTCTAAAAACTGCCTTAGCACTTAAGAATAAAAATTAGTGAAAAGAATTGAACACAACGTTTTGTTGTCGCCATGACATGATTATAAAGTGACAAGACAAAAAAAATAAAATCTGACGTAATATATCTTAGTTTTTATCTTGTCACTTGATAATGATGTCATGGAAACATCGAAACGTTGTGTAAAAACTCTTTTCACTGATTTTTATTCTAAGTTGGTAAAATTTGATTTATTCCTAAACTGCATAAAAGCGGTAGAATTTATCCAGAAAAGTATAAATACTGACAAAAAGACCCATTCGGCTAACTCAATGTTGTACCCAATTCAAATCTCCCGGGGGTTAAGATTCTTTGTGTATTGTATTTGCTTTATAATGTAACATTCACATTTAAATGATATGGAAATTCCTGAAACAAGACGTTTTATACCCAAAGGGTTTGAATTGGGTACAACATTTTAAAAAGGTCAAATGAACCAAAAAATTAAGATATTTTCTTTTGTCGTTTTACCTTCACCAAACACTAAAAAGAAACATCCTAGGTGAGATTTGGGTAAAGATTTTTCTTCCCAAGCCTTTATGGAAAGATAAAAGATCAAAATCCGAGCATTTCCGAAGACTTCACGAAAACGTTTTTTAAATGGCCGCGTGATAGACTGGAGACTACGTGACGTCAATGTTGGTCTTTCAGGGCGGAAAAACGTTCTGCGCAAGCTTCTGCGCATCCCTTATCGCCTGCGTTTGTTTGTCTCGTTCTGTGAGAGTTCTGACTGAGACTGAATGAAATACACGAGGTGCGAACGTTTGCTCCTTGTAAAGGCATTGTTTTTGTTTTTGTTGTTGTTGTTTCGTCACTTGAAAATTACCTTGGATTCAGAACAACCAATGTTAGAGTAAAAACAGATCATTCCGTCAGTCTGAGGAGGAATAAATTGATTGATTGATTGATTGAATAAAACGTTTTGAACATTTCCAAAGAGGTTTGTATTTTTCTGATAATTGTGCATTCGATTTGTGAATTGATTTTGTGTCCAGTGCTTCGCCTTCTTTCGCCAGACTGAATTAAAACCCGCTTGTATTCTGTTATAAATACGGTTACGGTTAGTTTCTTTACATGCCCAGATTCATTTACCTTTGCAAAACCAGCTTTATCCTTGTCTTATGTCAAAGAACAGTAATGCTAACGCTTGCGAGTGAACGAACTTGAGCGCTTAAAACTTCCTCGGAACTATAGAAGGCTAGCAAGCTTATTCGAGAAGAACAGACTACTTCGATCACTTTTCTGTTGCTCAAGTAATAATAGTCATTTTCTTTTTTTCTTTTTCATTTTTAATTAGAATACGCAGTTTTGTTTTCTTTCTGTACGCAAATTTTCCTTTTCACTCGCTGTGAAGTAGCTGAGAACGACAACTGCCGGCAGTGGCTTCAAAATAATTGACTCTTTGCCCGTAAACAATTGCTGGAGCTGGATTTGACTGAAGCGAGGAAAACAAACCCTTATGTGCTGTTTTCTGTACTTTCTAATGATTCAGTGTCCTGAGTTTAATTTGCTTGAATGAAGACCCTCGCATGGGCCATTTGAATCATGGCTTGGGTTCGAAGCTTGCAACCGATCCTTTGCTTTTAAGATCTTTAGGTAGGTTATTTCGCACAGAAAACTCACTTCTTCATTGTCAGCAGGTATAAGAGCCCTAAGCCTTATGTTTTTTGAGTAGAAATTCGTTTTTTTGCAACCTTATTGAAGCTTTTTTTAGTTCACTTAAGCTGAATTTTATGCATGATGGAATTGTTCTTTGCTTGTCGCCTCTCTTTGCGAGCTTAAAGTGGCGTCTATGGTCCTTAAAGTGACCTCAGTCGGTAATTAAATCATATACGTATCTGGAGAGAAGTTTTTGCAATAATGTAACTTCAACTTTGTTTGAAGGAAATCTTACTTCGTTTCTGAGAACGGTGTTATGCATGTTCAACTTGACAACACAAAGCAAACTTTATCTGCGCTAAACGATCAAGTTTAAAAAAACTGTAGTTGCTTTGAAACCGATTTTGGGGAAGATTTTAGTAGATAAAGATTAACTCTTTTTCTGCCCACAAACCAACGCCAAAACTTCTACATTGAGGATTTTGTTTATATTTTAGTGTTCTGCGAAGCACAAGTGTCCGATCGAGCGTGGGTTTTAAAATATCAGCTCGAGTGTGACAAAGTTCAATGACTTCAAACACATTGCGGGCAAGCGTGAATTTCTTTCGGCAAATCACTATACAAAGCTATTTTGTTTTTGTGTCCACAGTGGAGCTCCGGACCTTATATATCCAGAAACTTCCTTATATGAACACATTTTGTGAATACATCTTGAAAAAAATCGGACCTATACGCACGCAGATTTCCAGTACAGAACAAGGAAATTAATGCCGTTGTTAAAGTCCCTTTCAATATGATGTATTCTTCGAGAAAATTAAATAATAAGAAGGTTATAACCACAGCTTGCAACTTTTGAAGACAGATTGCCTGTTCTCTCCAGGTTTATGGCCGCACAAACCACTTCTGCGCCAAGTCGACTCGAAAAACTCTGTTTTGAATTCCCGCTTTTTTAAACCTGACCAACATTGACGTCACAAACTGTTGTTTCCGACAAATTTTTCGACCGCTCTACGAAGATAAGGGCCAAAAAACAGCAATTTTTAATTGCGAATATCTCGGACATACTCTCTTCAATTAAGCTGAAATTTCGTAGTATGTTTATTTGGTTCATATTAAACCAATTTCATTAGAATTGTACTGAAATAAAAAAGGTCGAATTTTTGGTTCATTTGACCTTTAAGGTGGCTCGATACAGTTTTTCAGGGCCAATACCTCCCAAGTTTGAGCATAAACTACGTCGCCATAAACAAAGTTTTGGAAAAATTGCCATCACCTTTGTATTAGGTAAAGACGAAAATATGTTATGATCAGGGTTGCAACGGCATCGGAGTTGTCATAGCAACGAAATGACGCTATTACCTATTTTACTTGCAGCAGTGTAGCTCGGCACTGAGAACTGTTCTTCCAAGATCGTTCACGGGAGCTTTTTCCTCCAATAGCAGCCTCGATGTTCGTGAAGTTTAAGCGAAATCTGTAAGAGCGTTATCGAGATATTTTGGGATGATGTTTTTATGATTAGAAACACAGTTAAAAATGGACAATATTGTTGTTTCGCCATTATCTGTAGAAAATGAAGCGCTTTTGACATGCAATTTCACCTGATAGTAGTTTCAATCTTTTTAAAAACGTGTGTGAAGGATCATGGAGATAGCTCCAGCCTATTGCTAGAAAAAAGGGTTTTATTAGTATGTATCGAAGCGCTCTTGTTAGCGGTTTTGTAAACATTTTGGTCTTCTTTAAAAAATTAGCGAATAATTTTTAAACCGCTCGATAGATTTTTTTTAAAATTTAAGATTCTTGAGATTCTCTTCTCTTCTCTTCTCTTCTCTTCTCTTCTATCTCCACGGTCTTTCACACACTTTTTTAAAAAGATTGAAACTACTATCAGGTGAAATTGCATGTCAAAAGCGCTTCATTTTCTACAGAAAACAGCCGAACATCAAGATTATCCAATTTTTACCGTATTTCTAACCACAAAATCTTGATGCCAAAATATCTCGATAACGCTCTTACAGATTTCGCTTAAACTTCAAGAACATCGAGGCGGCTATTGGAGGAAAAAGCTCCCGTGAATAATTTTGGAAGAACAGTTCTCAGTGCCGAGAAATACTTCTGTAAGTAAAATAGGTAATAGCGTCATTTCGTTGCTATAACAACTCCGATGTCATTGCAACCCTGATCATAAAAGATTTTCATCTTTATCTAATACAACTGTGGGGGCAATTTTTCCAAAACTTTGTTTATGGCGACGTAGTTTATGCTCAAACTTGGGAGGTATTGGTCTTGAAAAACTGTATCGAGCCACCTTAAGTTAGCCGAATAGGTTTTTCTAAGTACGGTGGTAAGTCTCCAAATGTTTTGGCGGCAGCTTATCTTGATCGATGGGTTCGATGAGTTCGATGGGTTGCGTGATTGTTACTCTAGCTACAAATCTGATACTCGCGTCTTTTTTCTAAAACAGTAAAAAAAGCGAAACAAGCGACGGTGGAGACAATTCTCAATCGTTACGGACTGACTCGGTTTTACTTCCGCTTAACAATCATTGAGAAAAGTGTAAAACTCAACGCCGTAGAATAACTATTGACAAGTGGAAACAAAAAGATTTACGATACTTGGATATTTTACTAGCCAATTTTGTAACAAAATTTATATTTTTTGGTTGACAGTATAAGTAGACCACTCAATCACATTTTTATTTCCACGGAGTGTACAAATGCATCCCTACTAATTCTTACCACTCGATGTTCTTTAGACTCTTTGTGTCCTCTTTCTATGCTGTTTACAATTGCATATTCTGCAAATGCACCGAACACAAAAATATAGCAAAAAATTAGGTACCAGTCCACTGCTTTCACATACGATACCACAGGCAAAGATCCCTCACCAACTCCGATTAACAGTGTAGTGATTGTGAGAATAGTCATTATGCTTAGTGCAACACGAGCTGGAACTGACTTCCGATCAATGAAGAATGAAAGCCAAGACATACACGCGATGAGAATGGCTGGAATGTAAACCCTTGTCAAGTAATGGCCAATGCGTCGAGTGAACTCGAATCTAAGGCCAAGAACAGAGTAATTACCTGGGAAAAGAGAAAGAAACATTTAAAAATATGCAAGCATTTGATGAGAAACACTGGCAAATTAAAACGCAAGGAGCTTTGATGACAACGTGTGATAGGGAGCTATAAGGAGAAGCCTCAGTTTACAAAGAGCATGTCGACTCTCTTGTATGTAAAATCCAGAATAAAATCTCTCGCTTTCATTCTTTATTTAAGGAAAATACCAACCGATAATCTCAATAGACTCAGAGTAGTCAATCGATAAAAATTGGTATCGATTTATCAATCGATAAATCGAGAAAAATCGGTAAATCCTTCGACTGGAGTGGATGTCTGAAATTCAGACAAGGGAATCTTTACTAAGGTTGTATTTCTTGTGATACTTGCCTGCGAGAACTGAATGTAATTAAAAAGCCGAACCGTTTTTGTTATTATGTACAAAACGAAGAGTTTTAGAGAGAAAGTTGTGTGTGCAATAGTTTCCACATTTCTCATTTTCGTGTTTGCTGATCAGTTGTTACTCGCGGATGCTAACTTATGCCAAAAATCAACAATGGCGGACTTCCGTCATGTACCGTTAAAATCATGAAAAATCCATAATATCGATTTGCAATTGACAGAGCAATTTAGTTTATCTAGTTTCACCGATTTCCATTTTCAATCGTTAAAAATCACTTGATTGCTATCGATTTTTATCGATACCGATTTTTGTCGATTGACTACGGGAATAGATCAGGTGGCTGTCTCAAGACCACATCCCCTAGAGTACCAGTTACGTAGCTGCTGACGTCCTGATGAGTGCTGACCGGTTTAAGTGTAAATTGAGCAATCTCGACACTTCCTGATAAAGTTTTATTTTTCTCCTTCCACTCGTAAACAATATCATCAGTGGTAAGAGAGTCTGCAAGGTAGAAGAGTCCAGAGAAAACAATTAATGTTAAGACTCAAAAGACAAGAAACATTTTTCAAAAAACAAAAGAGATAATAAATGCTTATTCCGTACTAATGGAGTGTATTAGAATGAAGCCTAGTACATAATATAGTTGGAGACCATTCCCAAATTAATAACGGGGTCTAAAATAGAATGATTGAAATAATCCCCTTATAGTTATTATTTTAAATATATAATAAACTCTAGGTACAAGAGCAACATAAACTGTTGCCAAGAAAAAAGAATAATAACCTTTTTCATTCAAACATTTAATTCAGAAAGTACGGTATTCATAAAATAAAAATTTAGGTCATTTTAGCCAGGTATAAAAACTAACAAATTAGCCTCACCTGGAATCAACGCTTTTATTTCATTAATACGTATACTTTTTTCGAAACTTACAACTTGAGAATTTCAATTCACACACTTGTCGATCCATGGGGAACTTGCGAAAGTCCATTGTACAGAGACACGTCAGAGTGATTCTAAATATTATAAATAACATAAGCCAAAAGTCATGACGATCCAACAAAAATTTTACAACAAATTTTACACGGTTTTAAGATCATGAGATCAGTTTTAATGGGAGGCGATGACTTTCGTTAAGACTAGAAAAATAAATTATTCTTGAGTCACACCGTTAACACATAATAAGATTAACCAGTCAAAATTCGATGCAAAACTTTGTTAAAGTAACTGTCGACAGGCGCGTCAGGGTCATGTCTTCCGGTTTTTGGTTTGCTGGCCGTGTGGGACAAGTAATTGTAACACCCCCTCTCCGATTAGAACATGGTTTGTTACTTTTTTGCATGGAGGTTACAGTAAATGAACAAGAAAATTGTTGAATTTAGCTAGTCACAAAGTTGAATTGAATTGTCCCCTTCATTTTGAAAGCCGCAGTTACGCCCATAATTAAGTATGCTGGTGATACATAATACTCGGCATCAAGAAAAACTGTTTTATTTTTACCTTGTGCTAATAAATACACTACCATCGGCTTGAATTACCATCACTTTGTTTAAGGTAGTCAGTTTGTGCAGCTCTCCCTTTTTGGTGTTTAGAAAGAATGTGTCAGGCTGCCACAGTCTGTCAGCGGCGTCGCCAGGTAACGTTATCTGCCTCTCAGGCAAATTATGAGATAGCCTGTCATCACGCCAGTACTGACGAAAGAACAGTTCCAAAGTAAAAGTCTGCCAACGAAACATTGACAATCTCAGTTCACTTCCCAGTGAAAACGAGAAAATCTACTTGAAGGCGACGCTTGTACATCGAGGAAACATGTCTCACAGCAAATTAAAAAAGGATTAATTTCAAAAATAACAAACACAGATTAATTCGAATTAACAAATCGACGCCAGTTTTTTATCGTCTGTCCTCTTATTGCTGATAAAATGACGTCATAACTTTGACAATGCTATGATGTCATTTTATCATCAATAAGATGAGAGACGATAAGAAAATGGCGTCAATTTGTTTTTTACAATAACAAAAGTCAAAAATGCCAGTAAAAATGAAGAAAACAGAAGAAAACTTATGACTTTTTTAGACTAGCGCATCGTTATTGTCAATAACTTTTCTCGCTTGGTGATTGGCTACTAATGACAAGTAACGGAGTTTCATTGACTAAAAGTTGGGTCGCGCATATATTAGAAATTAAATTGTTTTGCAAACCTCAAACAAAATGAGAACAGCGATCGATGTTTATTGTCTTGATTTAGGGCTGTATCAGTAAAGTCGTAAACTAGCCCAAGGTTAAATATTTTTCCAAGGGAAGATTTTGGAGCCGTTAAAGTAACCGAACAAGTCGAAGCAATGTACGGTTAAGCTGTCTGTAGATCAAACTAGCCTGGCAGTTGTGAAGAGTCGCTAACCGATATTAATAATCGTGTACGGCCGGGTTTTTACTTCACTTCTTGTCTTGTTTGTCGTCCTGAACGCCATTCAGCTATAATAGCTGTGTACAATCAAACCGAAAGGTGGCTTTTATAGGCATGAAGTTTTCAATTCCACTTAAAAGGTACTTGCAATTTGGACAAAAAGTTTGTTTTGCTTTGGAAAAAAGGATTAGAAAAACACTCAGTACTTGTCAAAAGAAAACTACCGTTATTAATGTGCTTATTTTTAATAAACTAGATTAAGCAAAAGGACTAAACTAAGCAAAAAACACCGAAGCTTGACATGATGTGAGTGTTACGCGCGCTGTGATTGGTCGTTGCCCTTGATCTATTAGAGTACAGATACATGAATGGCGTCACGGAAAGCTTGTTTTCTTTCTTTTGTACAACATATGGAGCGCGGTTTTGAAAATGCTTGTGAGATTTTTTCGGATTAAAGCAAGTAAAAACCTCGAAGAAAGTTAAGTAGGAGCTTTTTACAAAGAAGAAAAATGGAGAAACAGAGACAAAAATAGCTCTTGACTACTTGAGAATGCCTAAGAAACTACAAGAAATCTTCCCAACAGTTGCCATCGTGTGTTATCGCTACGAGAGACTCGCTGTTTTGCAAAATGTTTTCGCCATGCTTTCTGCTTTGAGCAACAAACGACGTTGAAAACTTTTCAAAGAAACTGTATACAAGAAAGATAAAGAAAAAAAGAAGGAGCAGAGACGAAAAGTAGCGTTTCCTCGGGACTTTAAAAATGCCTAAACTAGCGCAAATCTTCAAACAGTCAAGCGGAATTTGTTAAGCGGTACGAGGCAGGTATGTGTCACACACTCGCTCGTGTGCCAGTTCTTTGTTTTTACCACATTTTGACGTCATCTGTGATCACTTACTGAACACCGCACGGCAACATAGAATGTATTTGTTAAATTGATAGTAAAAAGTAGCCGATCGACGTGTGAGATATAATTCAGTTATTGTAAAATAAATAATTGCAAACCATATCAACTTCTTGAAAGCCTCCTATGTAAACTATTTGCACGTCAGCTTGGACTGTTATTGGCGGCCCTGTCAAAAACAAGGTAAAAATCAGATCAAAGGAGATCTTGTGAAACGTCAGAATGGAAATGTCTGCAGATCCTGCTGAAATCTGTAACTTCTCATGTTTTAGTAATGTCATTCCTTATTGTCTTCTATACCTCTTGCATTTGGCCGAATAAACCTGTTTCTTTCATCCTTTGCTACTCTCGTAATGACAGCTGAAATATCGTCCATGAGTTGAGTTGAGTTATCCCTATAATTAAAAGTAGTAAATATTAAATAGGACTTTAAAACATCATAAATTAAGAACATTGACTTTGTTCTTCCGATGAAGAGTGCTACTAAGTACATTTTATAAAATTTGGTCTTCACCTCTCGCAGACAAACTTTCTGCATGGAAATAAAACAACATAGTTCTCGACGCTATTACTTTGCATCCCGACCTTTCTTTCGAATTTGCTCGCTTCTTCTTTTCTTGATCGGAAAACGAGCCAGAGATGGACTTGTATTTCGGAGGGCCGAGTTCAAGTCCTGCTCCGTTACCGCTAGCTGGATTGGTTCTCGGTAGTCCCGAGTTCAAATCTTCGGCTACGCTTGTAAAATTCGCCTCCCACCAGTTGAGACTCTTAACCTTGTTAAGTTCCATTTGAATTATTGCTTCATCACCCCCGGAAAACCTCACAGAGGGAGACAATAATTGAGTATTTGGTAATTGACTTGATTGATCGCACCATATTGCCTCAGTCAAGAGGGTCTGAATGGGGGGGTCCACTTGTCGGTTGTCGGTTAAAATTTAGTTACTTTGTCAGTAGTCGGTTAAAAATTTCGATCTTGGTCGGTTGTCAGTTAATCTCAGTTAATAAGTAAAAATGCTTGTCAATTATTAATATTTGTTATGTGTTTCAATCAGTTTCAAGACTTTGATCCCTATAAAACATGTAAAACTTGTAAAAATGTATCATTTGATTGAACTTAAACTTCATTATGCAACATGATAGTGTATTTCACCAAAGCGTTTATTGCAAATGCGAACTTGGGTGCCCTGTTGATCACAGGGCACCATAAAAAGTAATGAAGAGAGGTTAATTGGACACAGAGGGAAACGCCCAGTCTAACCTTTTGGATACGTAAATTATTTTTGGTGAAAAACTGCAAGGGGTGACAGGCTGCACATCTATACCGGCGTGAAAGACCTTTAATATGTTGGCTCTAACAAGCATGTTCTTTGCCATGGTTTTCCTTTCTTTCAGGAAATAAGGGGTGGTTCTTTAAAAAATAGCAAAGTAGCGGTTGGTTTTGTAAGAGATTCCACTTTTCCATTAAAGCTTCTTTTACGACCAGAAGTGAGTTACAGTGTACTGCGCAAGCGCGACCAGTAAATTTCGTCGTCGTGGTGTCGTTGACGACGCCAAACAAAGTACAATCACGTCGTCCTGCAATCCACAAGCTTCAGCAGGTATAATGCACCTATCAATGTAATGCCGGCGAGGAGGGAGGCAGAGCGTAGGGTGGAGATTTGACTTTTTTCAAAAATTTGCAATCAAATTCCCTGCCCACGGGCAAATCATTCCAGTCAAATGCAACCAAATTTCCCCACCCTAGGCTGCACATTGCTGTCAATCCCCTAGGCAGAACCCAAGAAAGGCACAATAAAAATATCTCCAAATAAAACTCTGTAATCTTCTATAAACGTTGCTGCATCACCAAAGATACATGTTCCTGTGACAGCTGCAATTATACGTTTTAACCGTAATCCGTGTTACACTGCGTAGAATACATAAATCTTTAGGAGAAAGTCCACTTTTGTAAGTTTAAATATACCGTTCTTAGTAAAGGGTACAAAAAAAGTCAGTTTCGTAAGTTTACACTGATTGTAGCGAATGAGCCATACACTAATCAATTGTACTTGCAAAAATCGACTTGGTTTCTCTTTACTTTCGTTTCCTTTGATTCCACAGTATTTTAAGAGGTTCAATTGATCAGAAACGCACTAAAACAAACGAAATTTGAAGACAAAACAGTGAAATTCACTCAGCCTTCGCTTGTTCTCATTGGCCTCCATGACTTCCTGATCTTTTCAAACCGTACGGCGCATGCGTGAAGCGTGGAAGTGGGAAACAGATTGGGAAACAGATGTTCCGTCGCAGTCTTTTTCGCCCAAGTCGGCAGTCAAATATCTCCACGTCGGGCGAAGAAAGATTCAAATATCCCCTCCCATGGGAGAACAAGATTAGTCAAATGCCCTACCCCAGGGCCAACAAAGACAAGCAAATCCCCACCCCATACCCTGCCTCCCCGACCCCCCCCCTCCCCGCCGGCTTTACATTGATAGGTGCATAAATCCACTGTTTTAAGCGATTTTTGAAGTCCTTTGTTTTTTCTTATCCTAGTAAATCTAGGTATCGTTGCTTTTTTCTCGTAACAAGCGATGTTGATTGAAAATTCGACTAAAAGTGTACTGTGAAAGGTTTGAACCCAGGGCCGAGTTGTCCAAAGCTGGATTAAGATAACCCAGGGTTTGTGCGAGATTTGAATTAAGATTTGAAAGCTTAAAAAGCAATTCAGTTTTAATTCTTTTTGTCCACAATTTGATGATTGGACGGCTCTGAAAATAAGAGAGAAAATTATCCGAGAAAATGCTTTTGAACGCAAGAAAAAGAAACCAGGGTTAAATTTAACACCACGTTAAGCGCTAACCGGCCTTCGAACAACTGGGCCCTGAGTCATTTCAAAAGTAGGTTGAGTTTGATCGTCCGGGTGACCGTAGTCCTGAATAGGACTGTTGTTGTTGACAGTGACTGACGTTTCGACAACCTGTGCGGTAGAGAATCAACGCTTTTATTTCATTAATACGTATACTTTTTTCGAAACTTACAACTTGAGAATTTCAATTCACACACTTGTCGATCCATGGGGAACTTGCGAAAGTCCATTGTACAGAGACACGTCAGAGTGATTCTAAATATTATAAATAACATAAGCCAAAAGTCATGACGATCCAACAAAAATTTTACAACAAATTTTACACGGTTTTAAGATCATGAGATCAGTTTTATTGGGAGGCGATGACTTTCGTTAAGACTAGAAAAATAAATTATTCTTGAGTCACACCGTTAACACATAATAAGATTAACCAGTCAAAATTCGATGCAAAACTTTGTTAAAGTAACTGTCGACAGGCGCGTCAGGGTCATGTCTTCCGGTTTTTGGTTTGCTGGCCGTGTGGGACAAGTAATTGTAACACCCCCTCTCCGATTAGAACATGGTTTGTTACTTTTTTGCATGGAGGTTACAGTAAATGAACAAGAAAATTGTTGAATTTAGCTAGTCACAAAGTTGAATTGAATTGTCCCCTTCATTTTGAAAGCCGCAGTTACGCCCATAATTAAGTATGCTGGTGATACATAATACTCGGCATCAAGAAAAACTGTTTTATTTTTACCTTGTGCTAATAAATACACTACCATCGGCTTGAATTACCATCACTTTGTTTAAGGTAGTCAGTTTGTGCAGCTCTCCCTTTTTGGTGTTTAGAAAGAATGTGTCAGGCTGCCACAGTCTGTCAGCGGCGTCGCCAGGTAACGTTATCTGCCTCTCAGGCAAATTATGAGATAGCCTGTCATCACGCCAGTACTGACGAAAGAACAGTTCCAAAGTAAAAGTCTGCCAACGAAACATTGACAATCTCAGTTCACTTCCCAGTGAAAACGAGAAAATCTACTTGAAGGCGACGCTTGTACATCGAGGAAACATGTCTCACAGCAAATTAAAAAAGGATTAATTTCAAAAATAACAAACACAGATTAATTCGAATTAACAAATCGACGCCAGTTTTTTATCGTCTGTCCTCTTATTGCTGATAAAATGACGTCATAACTTTGACAATGCTATGATGTCATTTTATCATCAATAAGATGAGAGACGATAAGAAAATGGCGTCAATTTGTTTTTTACAATAACAAAAGTCAAAAATGCCAGTAAAAATGAAGAAAACAGAAGAAAACTTATGACTTTTTTAGACTAGCGCATCGTTATTGTCAATAACTTTTCTCGCTTGGTGATTGGCTACTAATGACAAGTAACGGAGTTTCATTGACTAAAAGTTGGGTCGCGCATACATTAGAAATTAAATTGTTTTGCAAACCTCAAACAAAATGAGAACAGCGATGTTTATTGTCTTGATTTAGGGCTGTATCAGTAAAGTCGTAAACTAGCCCAAGGTTAAATATTTTTCCAAGGGAAGATTTTGGAGCCGTTAAAGTAACCGAACAAGTCGAAGCAATGTACGGTTAAGCTGTCTGTAGATCAAACTAGCCTGGCAGTTGTGAAGAGTCGCTAACCGATATTAATAATCGTGTACGGCCGGGTTTTTACTTCACTTCTTGNAAGCCAGAATCTGGACTTTTTTCTGATTGGATAGGAAACAATACGGATGATTTGCGCTGTTCCGATTGGCCAAAATGCCGCCATCCGTTAGTTGTTGTTGATTTCAGTCTGCATTTTTGCTTGCGTAATGATCAGTGAATACACACGCGAGTTCGTTACGAAATTTCTGCCGGCTCAGTTTTCTTGAATTTTTAGAATGCCTAAATAGAAGTTTCATCCATTGAAATATTTTCCATCTCATCGTATGCTAAAAAGTTGCAGTCAAAACTTCACCGATCATTTGAATGCAATTTGATACCGGCTACAAGTTACAGAAGCGACAAACCTGTTCGGCTTTTCAAATAATCAATTCATGAATGGAATCTTGACCTGGTTTGACTGTAATTCCTCCTTCAGAAATCTCCAAATTACGCTGAGCGATCTTCGCTTTCACAACACCTTTCAGTTCGTGAAATATGGTGCTTCAGCGTAATTTTCTTTTTCACTGCTTTCGGCACAGAACGAAGTCAACGAGCTTTAACCAGTAAATTTTTTATTATTTGTACCTGTTAAATAGAGGTACGGCAGCTCCAGCTAGCAGTATTTCATCACAAAAACAACACATTTAAATTTTTTTAGGAATCGAACCGCCATCTGAACATGGATGTACTTAAAAATTTTCTTTTTTTCCTAAAATTGATTTCAAAAGAGACATTATTCGCGCCAAAATTTGATTCCTGTATGGTAAACGCTTATTGGCTAATAACATGACAGGTCACGCAGACGTTAGATTATGTAAATTACGGGGCGGTTGACGGCTTGTTAAATTAATGTATCAGGCGTTATTTTTTTCCCTCTCGAGCCAAAAAGCAAACAAAAAATAATAAAAATAACGCTTGTTCTCAGGTTAGGATGCATGAAGTTCTATGTCCCAAATTTGAGTATGTTGGAAATCCGATTTAACTGTGAACTCTTTTTTAAAGCCCTCACTCCCTTTACACGACAAGGAACTTTCTAGTGAAACCGGGGAGTCTTTGTGCCCATCGCGGTACGGTGGGTTTGGAGGTAGAGCTTTCCATTGAACGGGAAAGAATTTTCTTTGAGGATTAATTTAAGCATTTGTCGCATATAATGTTTAGGACTAGGCGGGTTGTAGAAATTCTTGGCATACGCTCTGCAAACCGATTTTAATATCCTCGTTTTGTGGTACTGACTTGTAAAAAGACTTGTGACGTGGTATCTTGGGTTACTTCCTAGAAAGGTAGGAAAAATTCAATATACTCTTCTTTCTGAAAAAAAATATAGATAATGTCGGTAGTCGGTTAATAATTTTCCTGTCGGTAGTCGGTAATTTTTTTCGCGTTTTGTCGGTAGTCGGTAATATTTTTTGCCCTTTGTCGCTAGTCGGTTAACCCCATTCGCACCCTCAGTCAAGCTTGCGTTAAAAGTTGAAGAGGCATGGATGCATGAAGTTCTATGTCCCAAATTTGAGTATGTTGGAAATCCGATTTAACTGTGAACTCTTTTTTAAAGCCCTCACTCCCTTTACACGACAAGGAACTTTCTAGTGAAACCGGGGAGAAATGGTCATTAAACATTATCAAACGAAACTGTCTCATCTTATGTTGATTGTTTCACTAGGTGTTCCAGCAGATTTGATGCTTACTATAGTTTTCAGACCCTTTCACCTTATATATATTTGTGGTGAAGACCCTTGGTCAAAAGGAGCTGGTTAAAAAGTTCCAGAACTCGACAGCAGGAAATCCCACAAAGATGTAAAAAGTCGTAGGAGGCAACCATTGACATCATACAAGAAACATTAAGGAAGCTTCCGAAACACTGTGAAAAAGCTCTTTTTAAAAAACGAAACTCCACTTTTTCCTGGTTGAGATTCTAGAGAGGCATAATGACTGAATCGACATTTCTCAAATTTCTACAGCACTAAAAACTAATAGAACGTTGCTTGCAATCAAGCTATATTGAATTTAACGGTAATACTGATTGCAATGTTTTGCTTTGGTATGACTGTTTGTTTCGCCTAGATTAGCTTATGCTACTTGCAGATCATTCCCTTGTTGTTGTTCTTTTGTTTGGAACACAGCAAATATTGCTTTGATAAAGCTGAGAAGAATTAACGTTGAGTTAAGTTGGGTTATTATGATTCGGGAGGGGCTCCAGACGCTTATGTCGAGAACAAGGGCCATACTTATTGGAGACTTTTAGGACAGGGATAATTACGTTGAATTAATCTTCTATATATAATCCGGCCCCTTTGCCACAGCCGATAGTTAGACCGTAGAGGGTACGAGTTAAATTTCCTCTAAAAAAAAATGGCTGTCATTGTAAATTCAATATTCTGTACAAAAAAATCATATACCTAAACTTTTATTCTGCCTCGACTACAGTTATGCTAACTTCAGGTTCAGATGAAGTTCTTTGTCCTTTCTCGTTTATTTGTATTCTTTGCCCTACTAAACGAATCTATTTAATGTGTGTAAATAATAATAGGCTGTTGTTGTTATATATCTTAGTTTCTCAAGGTATGATGGATCCGGCGGTCCATACCTCTAGTATTGTAATTATTTTATTTACCTGAGAAAGTCACTTGTCATTGACTGAGCTGATAACAGCAGGAAAATGATGATCGGAACTACTTTCGCTGGACTCGGCATTTCATCCACTGGACACACTCTGAGTAACAATGCTCTGCGTTAACACCAAATCATAGTTTGCATGACAAAAGATACCTTGACCTTACCCTGATTAATAAAAAGCCGTATAAATATCAGAAATTGGTAAAAATTTGCACATTCCAGTGCCTAGTAAAACCGACTATTAGTATAGTAACCAGTCTTAGTGACAGGTGAAGCGACGTTCTGTAAAGTTGTTGGGCAGATTTCCAACACGTATCCAGATATTTTTGAAAAGAGAGCTTTTTTTTCTCCATTTTCCATTATATATGAATACGCCAAAACTATGGAAATACTAAAACCTCTTTTGCAGAGCATTCTATGAACGATGTGTGACATCATCATATTAGTTTTCGTTTTCATTCGATAAGCCAACCTTTTCAAATTAAAGAACTCCACTTTGGGGACTGTTTTCGAAAACCTGCGTTTTTGTTTCTCGAATTCGTCGTTTTCAAAAATATAAGTATTTGTGTGGACGGGGAGTAAGTTGACTGAAGAATGTTATTACATTAGATGCATTAATATAATGTGCCACACTGTCTAGTTTTCATCCTGACAACTCTTGACTGTATACATACTGGAGGCCAAGAATCGTATTAAAAAAAAAAATGCTTTGACAACAGTTCACTGTGTACTTTAGTTATGACAGCCATTCAGCAACAATTAAGGGCACAACTGGCGCCTGAGAAAACGTCATTAACGAAATGAACTCGCACCGTTTCACAGCTCGTCCCATGCCACTTACTTAGTATGTCAACTGTAGTTAAATTTCCGAGAGTCAATTCTAAAGGAGCGCACCCAGGTTTGGAAAAAGAGGAAAAAATTGTCTTCCTGCAACTAAGTACACGATAAAAGGTGCATGGAATGGAATTTCAAGTCGTACTTACTGGTCAGTCAAAGGACGGCAGAAATGTTTGTTTTAAACCTACTGCTTTTTGTCGTTCTCGTTACGTTTGCCGTCTTAATTTGCTACATCTCTCTATCAAAATAAATTTTTTTACAGGGAAGTAGAAATAGGGCATAAATACATGCTAAGGTATTCTGACCACTGCTATTAATAATATTTTCATAGTCATAATCCAACGAACATGACAGCAAACTGTTTATTATGACTGTACAGCGGTCAACACAGCAAAGTTACTTTCTTAATTTACCTTCTCAGAAGCAAAGAAAAAAAATGCAAAAAAATTGAAGATGAAAAGGCCTTTCCCTCTTCGTCCTTTACTTTTGCTTTCACGGTCAGCAATGGAGGCCTTTGTGTATTCATCATCATTTGATTATATTCCGATTTCAACTTTTAACTCTGGTGTCAATTAATCAGTGCAACATGTCGCCCAATGTAAGGGAATCCATGACAGTCCTGGATTCTGGATTCCACCCTGTGGATTCCGGATTCCGAGTACTGGATTCCGGATTCCAGCTCAGTGGATTCCGGATTCCAAAAAGGGCTGGATTCCAAGTTTTTTTCTGTTTTAATGCTTTTCTTCGCATTTCGTTTTCGTGTTCGAATCTTGCTATATTGAAAGACGTTGTTTAGAATGCATAACAAGTTTGTTTTCTTTTTCGATTTATAAATTACGTGAAGAAATGTATTAGTGTTCCTTAACGGTTTAAGGTATAATAATGAGGGGGACATTGGGGGACTGTCCACACCGCAACACCAAGGAAAAAATAACAAACATCGCGTCACCGCAAAAAAACGTGGCGAAACGCCGACATCGCAATTTTAAATTTTGTCGTTCGATTAATCTAGTCCAAATCTCCATATGATTAGGGATCTCGGATCTCGGAGCTGGTTTAGTGATTAGTAGAGAGTGAGACTGACCTCAAGACTCTATTTTTCACTTACTCTTTTTTGCGAACTCTATTTTCAGCTATGCAGATAGAAAAATGCTTAATTAGCAGAAACAAAAGAACTCTTGCAAATCATTCCTAAATGTTCACGTTTATTCATTTGATTGCTACATAATAAAGTATTGGGAAAAGGTACAGTCATTGCCAGGGAAAATCGAGCTGCAATTTGCAAGAAAACGGCCTAACAAAGTTCGTGTGTAACTCCAAATTAATTTTTCCTATCTATGCTACATCAGAAACCAGCGAATTGAAGGTTAATCAAGTCTTTTGCTATCCACTAATAATATAATAGAAGGTTCATTTTGTTTGTAATTGTCGTTACATTCGTAGTTTCCATTGTCCTGTCCGAACGCCTGGAACAGGGTACGTCGAATCATTCAATCATGTTTGCAAATTCTTTGGAACATTAAAACAGTTCTTTTTCTACTTTTTATTGGAATCATTGTTATAGCGCAAAAAACTAAATTCGGTTACCGCTCTTTTGTAAAAATTTCATTTGTAGAGACACAGTAAGCTGTAGAACAAGCGCATTAGATATCACTTCTTAACTGAATTGCTTTCACACTTTCTCATATGACTCGTAAGACACGAATTTTAGCCAAATACAAAAAAATACACTTCTCCTAGGACGGGATAAGCATATATACTCAGTAAAAGGTTGACAATCAAAAAGAGTACTACAGAAGGTCAGCGCGGCCCTAAGTGACTAAAGTTGACTGTGTCACATAATTGTCTAAGAATGATAACATAGCTCAAAATAAATTCGGGCAGTGGCCGGACCACGTTGATCCACTAAATACATTTTTACGCTGTCACGTCTCGACGTTTTTGACTGGTCAAAATAAAGATAAAAAGTAATTAACTCTTGACAGTCTGCAAACCCCAAACTATCAGTTACTTGGTCTACAGCTGTAGTAGTCGCTGAACCATTTAAATCGAGTTCAAAAAGTGGCTTAAGAGACATAAAGGCTCAAAACGTAGTCAAAGATAGCCTGATTTGCCCGCGTTCAGTCAAAACTGTAGAGCTGAACTTGTTTGTTCGTTATTGACTTACGCTACGCAAGCATCCTTGCTGGACAGCATGCGAAAGCAAACCACCCCCTTCCCCCTCGCCCTAGAGGTCAATGAAATCCCTAATCTCGTACCCAGATCTCTTGTTGACGAAGCCAAAGGCGAGAAATGGCCCCAGTTGTCGCGTTGAATTTGATGTTAAAAAGACAAGAAAGAACGCAAAAATTAGTTGGTTCATACTTAAGGTGTGCGCATAACCACGTTTTGATAGAAGAAACTTCACGGCTCTATCAAATTCGTTGTTTAACACGTCAAAAATTGAGGATTAATTTCAAGCATACGCTCTTTCATGGCCTGTCACATTCCTGACAGGCAAACAGGGGTACAAAATCGGCTTTGACCAGATCTCGCCTTTTAGCTCTTTCTATAGGTGGCTCTAGGATCCATTTCAAAGAAAAAAAAAAATACGGGCTAAACCGATCTCAGATCGGTCTAATTTCCAAAAGCAACCTCAATGTGAACGAGGCCTAATCACAACGGTAGAACCAGAAAACATGAAAAGTCCGTCTGATCCTCGATCGAGTCTGAGATGACTGAGAGATCGAGAGAGACCTGCGCGTTTCTGACACGTGGGCTCGTTTTAAGCGTTTAGCAATGTATACGATATTTTCCCCAAGGACGACGTAAAATTTAATGCGATCGGCTTGAGACTGTATTCTTAAAGCTTAAGTACCCGAGGCACCTATTCAATCTGGCTGTCAAACAATTCGTAGATTCCAAGGTAGCAGACCAGCAGTAAATTCCATCAACCGACACGACTCCAGCCCCCATCCGAGTTGGCATACCATTTAAAGATCAGGTCTCTGCTAAGTAATATAGTGAAGAAACGTCTCACAGACCTCAGCTTAAAAATCAAGACCACTATTCAGCCCATGTTCATCAGCAGAAAACTCAACGAAGACCTTAAATTTGGAGAAGTCAAGCCAGCCATTGTTAACCAACAATGTTTAGTTTATCAATTTCAATGGGGACTTTACGAACCAGAACGCGACCCAGCCTGAAACGTCACCGGAAGTAATTTGCTCACAAAGTGCTTCACTGCACATGCTTGTCGCTAAACTGCAACGCGTCTTCTTCACGTTCAGAACACGAGGTTGGCACTTGCAGCGTTTCTAGAAAACGTGAGTACTTTCTACTGAATTTGACCTAGAATTAAATTTTCTTTTGTTACCTTATAGGTAAAACTGTTTTTCTAAGTCCATGAAAATGTTGTTTTTTGTAAAAAAATTTCAAACAAACATTTTAATTTGCCTTTTACTGCAGGTCAATTGGTTACCGCTATGATAAATGGACAACACGCAGACCCGACGAGTTCGATACCAAAGTCGAAAACTGGCAAGTAAGTCCAATTTAGTTTATTAGAAGATTCAATTTCCTGTCCTGCTTAACTATAAGATTAAAGTGAGTTTAAAGTTTATATTTATGTTCTTCATTGAAAACAAACTAAAACAGACTGTTCTTTTTTTCACGCAGTAATGTGATGTACTGGACAAGCGAACACGATGTCCTGTTATGCAGAGAAGTTTTTCCGAGACTCCGTTCAAAACAAGAAAGGGTTCGTCACAAAGAAGCGAAATTTGGGATAGAATAGCCAATACTTTGAATACCTGTCCCAAGTCTGTCTTTGCTGTGGATAAAAGGTCCGTAAGGGATCATGTGGGTATTTTAATTAACCGAATCAAAGTGAAATGATGCGGCTAATGCAAGAACAACAACGACAGCAGCAACAGCAACTCTTGGCGTCACAACAACTGATGTTGAGACAGCAGCAAGACCAAACTAAAGCACTGATGAGCACTGATCAGTTTGTTGGACAAACCTGTGAACAAATAGCTACCTAATTCACTTAAAATTCACCAGTATTGCTGGTGTAGCTGTCGCTTGATTTTGAAAACCAATTTGTATAATGTATTAACTATTGTCTTTGTTTTGACAAGAGTCACGACGAACGTTTTCTGTCAGCGATCAATGTTTGTATTTCAACAGTGGCACCGCATTTTTCTTGTGCCGAAGAGCCCGCCTTTTGTTATGTTCTATTATTGCAGTTATCTCATTGGATGGTGGCATATTAGAAAATATTTTTTGTCTAGAATAAATGAATAATTTTTTT